CTGTCCCTCAGCTCTTCAGCTCAAGGCTAGCACTCTACCACTTGAGCCTTAGTACCACTTCTGGCTTTTTTCTTTTTGCTTACATTGTACTGAGGAATCGAACCCAGGGCCTCATGCATGCAAGGCAAGCGCTCTACCACTGAGCCACCTTCCCAGCCCCAAGTCTGAGATTCTTATCTCCAATCCCACTAAAAAACTAGAAGTGGTGCTGTGGCTCAAGCAGTAGTGCACTCGCCTTGAGCTGAAGTGCACGAGGACAGCGCCCAAGCCCAGAGTTCACAACCCACTACCGACCAAAAAAAAAACAAAACAACCAAATAAAATAAAGACAACAAACATTTAGGATTAGTAACAATTTCAATAAAAAGCAGTCCAACATTCTAAATTCTCATTTTAGTTCAAAATGGTTCAGGCCCCACAACTGGACAAAAAAAAAAATTTAAAAAAAAAAAGAGTATCATGGACTTTCCTGCTTGGGCTGGCTTTGAACCATGTTCCCCAGTTCTCAACCTCCTGAGTAGCTAGTATTACAGGCATGAGCCTCCAGCACCTGGCTGAAAGGCTGGCTTCTGCTTATAGTTTTAGAAGTTTCAGTCCATAGCTGGTAGCCCTATTGCTCTATGTCTGTGGCTCTCACATAATGCTGGGAGCACATGATGGAATAAAACTGCTAACCTCTTAGTCAGAATGCAAAAGAGAAAGGGACCAGCAAAAGTGCCTCTGTCTTTGTAAAGGCACTCCCCCAATGACCTTACAGATCTCTCAATAGGCCCCACCCTGAAACATTCTCTACCTCCCAGCAGCATGGTGTTAGGGAACCTTTGAGATCACTTAATATCCAAACTGTAGTAGAGAAGACATAGCAGCACCTGACACAGTAGAAAGCAGAGAGGAAGTTCACAGCAGATAGCTAGCTGCAGTGTGAGCTTTATCTCCAGATGGACAGCTGAGGTGGAAAAGCAGATTGGAGTGAAAGGGTGAGTAGTAAAGGCATTTGTGAACAGCTGCCCTGTCTGTCAATCTCTTCCAGTGAATTCTATGAGCCTGAGGCACTAATGATGGAGGAAGAAGGGATGGTGATTGTTGGTCTGCTGGTAGGACTCAATGTTCTCGATGCCAATCTCTGCTTAAAAGGAGAAGACTTGGATTCTCAGGTGAAGTGGGATTTAGGCTCTAGGTGGAATGAATTAGTACTGGAATTTATATTTGAATTTATATATATATATATATATATATATATTCATTTGTTTTTGGAATGCTGGCCTTTGAACTTAGGTTTTTCACTTGCTAAATAAATAGGGTCTCCTTTTTATTCTCAGGTCAGACTGGACCATGATCCTCCTGCTTACCCCTCCTCTAGCCCTGAAGGCTTGGCTCAGAGGTAGAGCAAGAGGCTCAGGGGCTGGGAATGTGGCCTAGTGGTAGAGTGCTTGCCTAGCATGCATGAAGCCCTGGGCTCAATTACTCAGTCAGTACCACATAAATAGAAAAGACCGGAAGTGGCGCTGTGGCTCAAGTGGTAGAGTGCTAGACTTGAGCAAAAGAAGCTCAAGGACAGTGCCCAGGCCCTGAGTTCAGGCCCCAGGACTGGCAAAAAATAAATAAATAAAAAGCTGGGCACCTGTGGCTCACACCTGTAATCCTAGCTACTCAGGAGGCTGAGATCTGAGGATCGAGGTTCAAAGCCAGCCCGAGCAGGAAAGTCTGTGAGACTCTTATCTCCAATTAACTACCAGAAAACTGGAATTGGCACTGTAGTAGAAGTGGCTCAGTGGTAGAGTGCTAACCTTGAGCTAAAGAGCTGAGGGACAGCGCCCAGGCCCAGAGTTCAAGCCCCACAACCAACAAAAAACAAAAAGAAAGAAAAAGAAAAAAGAATTGAATGCTCATTGAAAAACAGCTAGACAGTACAGAAGTGTGCAAACACTGAAGTGAAATTCAGACTCCTTTCTTCCCTTCTCCCTCAGGACTGCTTTCCTCCCCCAAAGGGAAGTAATGGTGAAAAATCAGGAACCTTCCACAGCCTTTTCTACTTCTTTTCTGCATTTGGGCCACTGTAGGTTTGGTTTTAAATGAAATCCTCTGGTCTCTGTAACATCCTCTGACCATGTAACAAATCAAAATTACTGTGTCCCAGCGTGGAGTTGACCATGCTCAGGTAGGGGGTCTTGTTTCAGAGCCGGTGATTATAGCCAGGGCATGGCTGGGTCAGATGAGTTGAAGATTTGTTCTCAGCCTTCTTGTGCTCCAGGCTGACAAGACCCCAGAGAGCTGGCAATGGAGCAGCCAGGGCCTCTTGGGGGCCCTGCTCTCTGCCTGTGTTCTCTTCATATGGACTTCACTGTTTTGGCATCTTACCCAAAGTTCAGAACTTCAAAGCTGTATGCCCTCCAGAATAGAGCCAGGTGAAAAAGGTAATGCCTCCTTCAGCTCCCAGGGTGTCATTTCTACTGCATCTTACTCATCAAGACAGGCACTAACGCTGGCCCGGCTCAGAAGCTGGGAATATGGATTTCTCTTGGTGGGAAGTAAAGGCAGAGAAGTTGAAGTTGTATCTTACAGACATCATACATGGCTTTGGTTTAATCCAGGGGATTACTATCATGGGGTGAGTGCTTGGTCTTAAAGCTGTACCTGGATCCCAAGTTGATCCATGAATCCACTGCATTCATTGTTGTGGTAGTCTAGTGTAGTGATTGACTTCTGCATTGCTCCATAGAGGGGCACTTGGATTATACTCACTTTCCCTGTATTTCAAATAACAATGATACTCTCCAATGCCATATTTTTTTTTAACAAAGCTCCTTTTTTTTGTGGGGTGAGGGGGACAAGATCTTCCCTGGTTCCCAACAGAGGCAGAGAATTCTCCCTAAGGTACAAACTAGACCATTTTACTCACAGTTCAGTAAGGGAGAAAGGTTCAGCCAAATGAGTTAAGGTCACCATTTTAGAGATCTAGTGTTCTCTCATTCCGCCCCCCCCCCACACGCACACCTCATCTTTCTCTCTCGCTCCCCCCTCTTTACTTTGTACCCAAAAAACTTTTTGTTAATCTTCATAAAGAGCATACCCAGTAGTGAGATGAACTGCCCTGAATCTGCAGGACTTTTACGGTTTGAAGAAAAAGAGAAATGTCATCTTGTGGCTTATTTTTCCAGGTTGGTGTGATTGACTTTTCCCTCTACCTTAAAGATGGGCAGGACCTTGATGGCGGCAAAGAGTAAGTCCCATGCGGGGGTAAATGAAGTTCTGGCATAGAGTGCTGCTCCTGCTTTGGCCTGCGGAGTTTAGCTTTTATCAATTCTTTCTAGTTGCAGAGCAAATGCATTCTCATCCTTATCATCTAGGGAATTACATTCCCTAACCCAAACTATTCCTTATTATGTATATTGTGCAGACATACAGAAGAATCAATTTGAGCTACTAGTATAGTAGAGAAATTTCCCCAAGGTATTACTGAATGAGGAAAATATGGTGCCAAGTAGTTTATATACCAAAAAAAAAAAAATTCCCTAGTATATACTTAATAGTTTAAGTGCATATCCTATGTGTCTATTAGCTAGATGTTAGGATTATACACACAGAGATGAATACTCAACATTCTTAATGTGCATTACCAGGAAAGCTATGTCAGGGACAGAAGCAAAGAGGTATCATAGGGCACTCCTGTAATCTCAGCATGTAGGAGGCTGAGGTAGACAGATTGTGGATTGACAGACAGCCTGGGCTATATAATGAGTTATAGGATAGCCTGTGCTACTTAGGAGACTCTTCTCTCAGTACAACGATGAAAAGGAACCAAGTATGGTGATGATAGCCTGTGCTGTCAGCTGCACAGGAGGCATAGGTAGGATTGTGGCACAAGGCCAGGTGTGACAAAAATTAGAAACCCTAACTGAAAAACAAACTAAAGAAAAAAGGACCAGAGATACAGGTCAAGTGATAAATCATTTCCCTAGCAAGTGTAAAGCCAAGAGTTCAAACCCCAGTACCTGAAGAAAAAAAGTAAGGGAGGTTGAAGGCATGGTTTAGGTGGTAGAGCACCAGCCAGTGAGCAAAAGTGTCAAATACTGAATTTGAGTCCCAAACTAAAAGGATGGATGGATGGATGGATGGATGGATGGATGGATGGAAAAAAGGAAGGGGAGAAGAAAGGAGAGGAGAGGCAAAGCAGAATAGGTAAGAGAAAAATCAATAACTGAAAAACAATCCTAGCATCTACAATACCAACCTCTATAGGATGATTCCATTTACTTAAGTTACAATTGTCTATACATTTGTAAAGAAATTACAAGGTGAGCCAGGTGCTGGTAGCTCATGCTTGTAATCCTAGCTCCTCAAGAGGCTGAGATCTGAAGGGCAGCGGTAGCAGAAAAGTCCATGAGACTAACTCCAATTTAACCATCTGAAAACGGGAAGTGGCGTTGTAGCTCAAACTGATAGAGCCTTAAGCAGAAGTTCTCAGGGACAGTGCCCAGGCCCTGAATTCAAGTGAACTTCAGTGTAATAAGATTGTGTCACATGCCACTTCCAGAGTCATGTGCAAGGGAAGGCTGGTGCTTTCACTGCATGACTCTGTGTGCGTGTGTGTGTGTGTGTGTGTGTGTGTGTGTGTGTACATCTGTACATGGGTAGGTGTGCATTTGTGCCTTTCCCCATGCCAGAGGCACAGCCAGTCTGCAGAATCTAGAGTGCATCAGAGGGCACCTGTTTCCAGAGCCCTGGCTGCTCCAGCCATCCCTGTTATGTTTATACTCCTGGGACACATGGGTATTATTTCTTAGCTCTGACTCTTTAGATTTCCTGATACATTTGTATAGCTGATCAGAAGGTAAGAGCCAGTGCCAGAGTATTAACCATAGGTAAAATAAATTTCTCTTTTTATGCTCTTTTTATAAGGCATGAAAGAATTACTGATGTCCTTGATCAAAAAAATTACGTGGAAGAACTGAACCGGCACCTAAGGTAGGAGCCCCTCCTCTTCTCCAGTGCCACACTCACACACAGGTCACTCTTTGAGTTTGCATGTGTTTATAAGTGATTTTTCTCCACACTAGGTAAAAAGGGTGTAATCAGTCTAGCAGTGTTCATGCATACAGATGAGAAAGAAGGGTTTCTTTTTTTTTTTTTTTTGTCAGTCGTGGAGCTTGAACTTTGGGCCTGGGTGCTGTCCCTCAGCTCTTCAGCTCAAGGCCAGTGCTCTACCACTTGAGCCACAGCGCCACTTCCAGTTTTCTGGTGGTTTATTGGAGATAAAAGTCTCACAGACTTTCCTGCCCGGGCTAGCTTTGAACCACAATCCTCAGATCCCAGCCTCCTGAGTAGCTAGGATTACAGGCGTGAGCCACCAGCACCTGGCTTTTCTTCTTGATAGATAACATCTATAGGGAATTCTGGTTCTTTGTTTGGAGCAGTTTCATAGTATAGAGAGTAAAGGCCTTAAATCTTGGGCTTCCTTTCCTCTCCCAAGCCAAATGGTTGGCAGGACTGCCATGCCACGTATTCTCATTGGTGTGAATCGGCACAGAGCGCCCTGATGCATCAGGGCAGGAAAAGAGGGTAAAACTGCTGAGCTGCAAGCCTGTGATCCACGCCATTCATGGGAGGCCAACCTGTGTCATGTCAGAGGCCTTTTCTTGATTTTTTTACAATTGTAGCTGGTGGACTGGAGGCGTGGCTTAAGCAGTAGAGCGCCAACCAGCCTATGAGCAAAAGTTGAGGCCCTGAGTTCAACTCTGGTCCCAGCAACAAAAAAAAAAAAAAAAAAGGAAGGAATTTAAATCATAGCTGGAAAACTGCTGTGTTTCATGAAACATAAGCCTTAGAAGAATTGTAGGGAGTGGGAGAATTCTTGGCCTGTTTTGGGAAGTCATGTTTCTCTAAGCCTTCTAGAGAGTAGACTGCACATTAGCAGTGCTGCCCGGGACAGGCCTGGTGCCCCAGTGCCAATGAAGCAAGCCAGAGGGTGATGCCTTCTTCCACTAGAAAAGGCTGTTCAGAGGCTCTGCTCAACCTCCCTGCTGGCTGGATTTTGAGAAATCCTTTGATTTCTAATTTGAAAGTTTTCTTAAGGTATAGATAAGGATTTTTTTTTTGTTGCTGTTGTTGGTTGTGGGGCTTGAACTCTGGGCCTGGACACTGTCTTTAGCAATTCAGCTCAAAGCTAGCACTCTACCACTTGAGCTACAGCTCCACTTCAGTGTTCTGGTGGTTAATTGGAGATGAGAATTTCACAGACCTTCTTCACTAGGCTGGCTTTGAACCCAGATCCTCAGATCTCAGCCTCCTGAGTAGCTAGGATTACAGGCCATGAGCCACCAACGCCCAGCCTAAATGTGGATTTTTATCAAGTGCATTAGCATCCATTAAGGCAGTCTTGACTTTATTTACCCCTTAATGTATTGGTGATCCATTTTATTAAATGGTGTCTTTCTACTGACCCATTCCTGATGAACTCCATCACAGATGTAATCAATTAATTATGTGCTTTTCTCCCAATGGTCCAGTTTCCTTTTTTTCTTTTTTCTTTTTTTTTGTCGGTCCTGGGGCTTGAACTCTGGACCTGGGCGCTGTCCCTCAGCTCTTCAGCTCAAAGCGAGCATTCTACTGCTTGAGCTACAGCACCACTTCCGGTTTTCTAGTGGTTTATTGGAGATAAGAGTCTCACAGACTTTCCTGCCCAGGCTGGTCTTGAACCTTGATCCTAAGATCTCAGCCTCCTGAGTAGCTAGGATTATAGGCATGAGCCACCAGTGCCCGGCCCAGTTTTCTTTCCCTATACTTTTATTTAGTTTTACTGCTCAGCTTGGATTATCTCAGGTCATACATTGGTACAAAATGATCAGAAGGTTGGGAGACAGCTATAAAGTATTAGCCATGAGTATTTTTTTTTCCTCTCTATATGCTTTATTTTTAAGGTACAAATCACCAGTGTCCTCGACATTGCTATTTTATGTTATATAGTTGGTATAGAATCAAAAACAATACTCTTAAGACCTTTTATTCACTCCATAACTATTCTTTTTCATTTTTTGTCTTTGTATCTCTATTTTTCTGCCACCAACTCCTGAACCTCCATTCAATAGCCGCTGCAGGTTTGTTTCTCTGTCCCCATCACTGGCAAGATCTGTGGGATATGATCTATTGTCTAAGTTACAGCCTCTGCAACGAGATGCCCTGGATCTATAATGTATGAACTTCAAAAGAGTCCAACAGAAAGGAATAAAATAAAAAGAAAAGGAAAAAATAGCTTCCAGACAAGGGAAGAGAGAGGGTTTAGTCAGCAGTGGAGCGCATGAGCAAGCCTGTGCCTGGGCTTCCGGCTCCAGCACTTATTATGAATAATATCTTCAAATACATGACTGAAGACACACCTTAATTCCCATCATTTATTATATTTAAGGAAAAAATATTTTTTCCTAGCTGGCTATAAAAGAATGAATAACATATTTTGGGATAAAACAGTGTAAAGAGCCAGGTACTGTTGGCTCGTGCCTGTAATCCTAGCTACTCAGGAGGCTGACATCTGAGGATCATAGTTAAAAGCCAGTCAGAGCAGGAAAGTCCATGAGAATCTTTAGCTCCACTTAAAAAAGTGGAGAAAAAAAAAGCCAGAAGTGGAGCTAAGACTCAAATGGTAGAGTGCTAACCTTGAACAATAAATCTCAGAGATAGCACCAAGCCCCTGAGTTTAAGCCCCAGGACTGCCCTACCCCCACCCCCACCCCAAAAAAAATCTAGTGAGTAGTCTATCTAAATACAAATACAGGGCTGGAATGTGGCTTAGTGTTAGATTGCTTGCTTAGCATGCATGAAGCCCTGGGTTCTATTCCTCAGTACCACATAAACAGAAAAAGCTGGAAGTGGTGCTGTGGCTCAAAGTGGTAGAGTGCTAGACTTGAGCAAAAGAAGCTCAGGGACTTGAATTCAAACCCCAAGACTGGCATATAAATAAATACACATACACACATGTATTTATATTTCATATCTCTGGGTTAATGAATGACTCTGAATTCAGCAAATCTAGGCATCTCCCTTCTCATTGTTCAATGGTTGAGGAAACAGTCATCTTTTATAAGCTTGCACTTACCTGGTACTGTGATTTTTCTATAGCTGCACAGTTGGAGATCTTCAGTCCAAGATAGATGGCTTAGAAAAGACTAATTCAAAGCTCCAAGAAGAGGTTTGTAACTTCATTGAAGTCCTTACATATAATGATGGCCCGAGGATTAGAGAAACGGTGGAGTTGGTACACTTGCGCAGAGCTGCTCTCTGGAAGGAAGGGACTGGCCAGCCTCGCATTGAGCTGGCTTGCAAACAGGACATCTGTGTTCTGCCCTGTGCAGCTCCCAGCGAGACACTGCAGCCCATCTCCAGCCAGTTCTCAGAGACAGGTTTTATCACCTAGAGCTGGGACCTGTCTAGCAGTTTCTTCCTCTTTTTCTGCCTTTCCTGTGATGTCACGTGCCTCCCTATGGCCCCAGAAAGCACAGACTGTATTGTAAGCGGCTGTCACTCAGCCTACCCCTCTGTTTCAGCCTCTTAGGCACATGGAACTCGTCTCCCCACAGCGTGGTCTTTCTCTGCTTTCTCACTAGGTAGAGAGAGAATGAAAGGACAGGACGAAGGAGGGCTGAGGCCGAGGAAGAAAGCTTGCTGCCAGCTGCCCGGCAGGCTCCTTGGTGGACACATCTTGTCTCCTGTTAGCAGGAGGGGGGTTGCACAGCCTCTCTGAGGCTCCCACAGGTAGCGGTCCCTGGCTGCTCCGGCCTCCCACCTAGTCTCATCGAAAAGGAGGAGAGCTTTGAGAGGAGGCTCAAGAGGAAACACCCCACGGCGTGGAGACAGGGCATAGTGGAAGGAGAGAGGCTGCAAGCATGCCTCCATCAACCCATGATTAAGGCTTTCTTTACATTGATGCTCTCCTAGGAGGAGCTCAAAGGAGTGTAAGCAGGAGGTTGAGACAGTACTCAAGGGCATCCAGGAGAAAGCACTGGACTTAGCGTTGGGAGGCCTCCACTCTCCTGGGTGGACATCGGCCTTTGAGTCCCCTTTAGGTAGGTCGGTCTTGGAACCTTACTTCTCTGTCTCCAAGTTGGGCAATGATTCGTACTTTGTGAATTTCATAAAGACTAAATCAGACTGATAATCATATGAATATAGTTAATGCAACTCTTGGGGGAGGTGCTGGGGAACTGACTGATTTATGAACAAGCAAACCACTCTGTTCTCAGACCTGGTGTCCTGCTTTCAAAGTCTTATTTGGCTTTGAAACTAAACCCCTGTGTTTCCTTTCAAGGCAGACGATTGTAAGAGAAGCCAGGCTTTAGAGAGTAGTCATTCCTCTCTCTCCGGGGCAAGTTTTCTGTATCTTCAGAGAGGATAGGGAAGCAGTTTATGGCTTCTGCCTGCTTGTGATAACTAATAACTGCTCTAAAGCATGCAGTGTCTCATTCAGGCACAATAGTTGCTTAGGAACATTCAAGAGGAGAGTAATTCTTAGAGACTTTAGATGCTAGAGAGGAGTTAAGTGCTTTAAGGGCCCTCCATTGGGAATTAATGCTGAAATTAGAGCCAAATGCCAAGGACAATGAATGCCAGAGACTCACATCTGTTATCTTAGCTACTTGGCAGGCTGAGATTGGGAAGATCATAGTCTAAAGCCAACCTGGGCAGAAAAGTTCACACGACCCCTTCTCAACTGCAGGCTGTACACAAAGGCTCATACCTGTAATTCCACCTGCAATGGAAAGTCTAAAATAGATCTCAGTCCAGGTGCACACCCAGGCAGGAGATGAGCCCTAGCTCAAAAATGACCAGCACAATAAAAGACTGGAAGTGTGGTTCATGATAGAATACCTGCCTAGCCAGTGCAAAACCCTGAGTTCAAACTCTAGTAACCGCCCCCCTCCCAAAAAAAGTACCCAGGACAATGTCTTGCTTCTTGCTCCTTCTCCAGCCTCCCTTTCTCCCCGAAAGCAGTGTTTCCCCATTGCTCTCACCTCCTCTCCTGAGGCAGAGCCATGAAAATATCAGATTCCATATGCTTTACCCCAAGCTATGTGCACCCCCTTCAAGGAGAGGATTTCCTCCAGGGCACAACTCTGTGGCTTGATGTTTTGTCCCCGCTTCCATTTTTTAATTCTCCCTCTAATGATAAAAGCTGAACAAAATACATACAAAACAGCCCCTAATAAGTGACAGCTTTCTCTATCTTCTGGTATGGAATTCTCTTATCATTTGATGTAAGCATTTTTATCCTAGTTGATTTTCTTACTACAGGCAAGAGCATACCATATAATCTGCTTCTTTCCTTTATTAGTATTGCAAGTGAGTTCTCAAGTCATTAATAGCTATTGTGAACATTGGAATAGCTAATGCTTCTGTTTGTGCCTCCACTGTAATATATTTACCCTTTGCTCTAACAGTGGACACTCAGGTTGTTTCCTAATTGCTTGTGAACCTACATGATTTTCCACATAAAGTAACAGAGATGGCTAAGGACAGGGATGGATGGGAGACTTTACAAACTCTCATTTCTTTACAATTCTAAGCCATGCATTCCCTATTCAAAATGAGATGCCAAATGTAAAGGTACCAAGTAAATGTTAGTGTTTTAAAATTTGAACAGCAAGATTGATTTTGATGTTAAGAAATGTAAGTTTTTTAATTTAAATCTTTCTTAATCAGCTTTCTGCCGCGACAGACCGCATTTGCTCACTGCAAGAAGAACAGCAGCAATTAAGAGAACAGAATGAATTAATCCGTGAGAGAAGTGAAAAGAGCGTAGAGGTAAGTAATGGAGCTCACTATTGGGCTTCAGTGAGCAGCTCACCCAGCACCGGCCTTGAGCTCATGATGTCATCCCCTGGGTATCTGTGGGGGATCTCCAGGATCCTGCCCCACCCCTTGGATACCTAAACCCATGATGCTCGAGTCTCTTGAATAAAGGGCATTGCCTTGGTTCTCTGAATATATCCTCCCAGATACTTAAATCATCTCTGGATTGCTTATAATACCTCATCCAATATGAACACTCTGTGAGTAGCTGCTACTGTGTTGTTTAGGGACCAATGACAAGAAAATTAAGGTCCATGCATGTTCAGAACAGTGAGGTATTTTCCTTCAAATATTTCTAATCCTGCTTGATTGATTCCCCTGATACAGAGCCTACAAGTACTAGGGCTAAGTGTAGTTTTGTTTTGTTTTTTGTTTTTTCCAGTCCTGGGGCTTGAACTCAGGGCCTGGGCACTGTCCCTGAGCTTTTTGATCAAGGCTAGTACTCTACCACTTGAGCCACAGAACCACTTCTGGCTTTTTCTGTTTATATGGTACTGAGGAATCGAACCCAGGGCTTCTTGAATGGTAGGCAAGCACTCTACCACTAAGCCACATTTCTAGTCAGTGTAGTTTTAACAGTTACCCAGTCTACAGAATATACAAAAAGGTTCCTCTTGCTTCTGTCCCAACACATGCCATTCACAGGCAACCTAGACCTCATACCCCTTTGTACTTCAGAGTTCCTATTGGTTATTTTTTTTTTATTGTGAACATACTGTACAGAGGGGTTACAATTACATGGGCAAGATAATGAGTACATTTCTTATCAAGCATTGCAGCCTCCTCCTTTGTTTACCCTTCACA